AAAAAGTTACTCAGAATTATGTCCTTGATAACATATGTCAAGGTCAAGGTCATTGGGGTTGGGTCCCCTATTTGCTATATTTACCTTAAATTCTTTATATGAATATATAAAATGTAATATTTATTATATATTATATTTCTATATATTTTTATATATTATATTTTTATTTTGAATTTATATATGTATATATGCATTTATGCGTATAACAATTTACATATTAAAACAAAATGTTGTAACGATGCACCCCCCATCGTTACCCGGCAGTAGATCGCCGGAAGTCTGCCGCCCGGCGAACACCGGCCGGGCAGGGGCAGAGGCGCCGAGCGCCCATTTTAATACGCTAATTACCGCCGTTGTGAACAACCGTACGGCCGTTATACGGCCGCCGTTACGCCGTTATACGGGAAACCCGAGCACAGCCGAGTGCTGCCGGAAGATCCCGAGCATCACCCGCCGAAACGCCGCGTCGTTTCGCCCAGGGGAAGCGACGCGTTTACCAGAATAATTACCCGCCGAGAACAACGCGTCGTTATCCCCACCCGGAGGCGAATGACGCGATTACCGCTAGGCGCTCGGGTATAAACTGGCAGCATTTCGGCATCTCATTACCAGAACGATTCCTGAAATCCGCTCGAGCAATACGCTCCGAGACAAAGACGCTAAATTACATCCTAAGCTTTCGTGTGTCTCCCCTTTCACGAGCCCTGATCCCGACCGAGTCATCCGCGCGCTCGCGAAAGTAACCCCGTTACATTGGCGCCCGAACAGTAGGACCGTCCGGGACACACGATTTTTTTTTCTCTAACGGCGTGGTCTATAACCGAGCATTATGAAAACCTGGATATACACGCTCCCGAAAGAGCAGTTGATCGCCACGGCCATCACATATGGCATCGATACAACCGGCATACTCGATGTCATCCGCAGCCGGATGAGTCAATACGTCGACTCACACACGGAAGAATTTGGGGCCCAAGGCTCGGACGCCCGGAACACGCGGACACCCCCGCGAATTGAAATCGCGCCACTACCCACGCCTAACGAAGACAGGCGCAGGATCGAACCATCGGCGACCACGCAAATGCTAGAGCATCTGCGTAAGGCCCGTTCTACAATAAGTCGTATATTGAAGTCGTATGTCGCTAGTTATATGTCGTGTGTCGTATGATGGATATTATTGCGACTTACCATTCTACATTTAAGTCGTATAGCGTAGTATTGAATAATAAGGTTAACAAGAAAGATGGATAATGTAACTATTGGAGTTTACCTCAATTTGTTATTAATTTGGTTGAAAGTTATAAAAATGCGAATATTAGTAGAAAGAAGACGTAAAACAACTAGAAGATGGTGGGTAAAACCACATATTACAAGGGGTATCAGACAAAATTTCGGAGCTCATAGAAAATTGTTTATGCATTTTAAATCGAATGATCATGAAGAATTTTTTAAATTTACAAGAATGTCAGTACAACAATTTGATTATTTACATGATCTTCTAATACCGAAGCTACAAAAAAGAAGTCGCAGAGAACCTTTGTCAACAGAAATTCGTGTTGCTGTCACATTAAGGTTCCAATGATCTGTGATTTATTATTTTTTAATATAATTATATTTATAATAAATATATTATATAACTTTATTTTTTTAAGAATATTAATATTGCGAAATTCAAATTTGGTTTTAGTTTTCTTGCTTATGGAGATAGCGTTGCGACTACATCCTGGTATTTTCGTATAGGAAAATCGACACTATATAATATTATCCCCGAAGTGTGCAAAGCTATATGGGAAGTTGTACAACCAATATATCTGCAATGTCCACAACAAGAAAATAAATGGATAAAAATTGCAGATGAGTTTTATAACATCTGGAATTTTCCAAATTGCATAGGGGCAATTGATGGTAAACATTGTCGCGTTCAAGCTCCAATAAATTCTGGTAGTGCTTTTCACAATTATAAAGGCTATTTTAGCTTTGTGCTAATGGGAATTGCTGATGCACGTTATCGTTTTATCTGGGTTGACATTGGCAATTATGGTAAATTTCTTTTATTGTTACATCATTAACAAAAATATGAATGAACTTAATTTTAAAGGTAAAATATATTTCAATGACAGGTTCTCTTAATGATGCTGGAATTTGGTCCAATACCGCTATGTGTCAAGGATTAGAAAATAATACGATATCTCTACCAGAAGCTCGTTCCTTACCTAACACTAATATTATAACACCATTTTCCTTTGTGGGTGATGAGGGTTTTCCATCGAAAATATATTTAATGCGACCATATGCTAGAAGAAATTTGGTAGATGATGAACAACGAATATTTAATTATCGATTATCTAGAGCGCGTCGAATTATTGAGAATGCGTTTGGTATTCTAGTATCACGATGGAGAATTTTACAAAAACCTTTGAATGTAAAATTGGAAACTGCAGAATTGATAGTACAAGCTGTAACTTGTTTGCATAATTATATTATAGATACAGGGTCAAATAACAATCAATATTTACATAAAGATATAGATCGAGAAGGTTCTAATGGTGAAATAATAGCAGGAAACTGGCGAAATTTAATAAGAGAAAATAATTTTATTAATCCTTTGGGACGGGTTGGTGCCAACATCGGAACAGCCACTGCTATGAGACAGCGTGATACTTTAGCTCGTTATTTTATTTCAGAACAAGGAAGTATACCATGGCAGTGGCAACATATTTAATAAGTTTAATAATTTTTTTTATTAAAACTATAAAATCTTGTAACATACATATATTTGTGTATATATCGTTTTTACAATAATAAACTAAAAACTTTTATAACTTCATAAAACCTTTTGTTAAATCAGAATACTATATCCTAATAAATAATAATAAAACAAAAAAAATATTACACTATTGCACAGCATCTCAAAATGCATTAAAATAATATATTTGTATTTCTGTGCAAAATCTCTTATGGACATACATGTTTATTGTATGTAATTGCTTTAAAAATTCATAAATTGCAGAAAGAATACATATCTATTGTACGAAAAAATAAAAAAAAAACAAATTAAAGAAACAAATTAAACAAATGAAATGAAACAAATTAAAGAAAATTATCTCTCTTCATATTTTTGAATAATTTGCAATACTTCTATAAGGCATTGAGTTTTGTGTTTATGAGGCACATGTTTCAAACCTTCTTCTACAGCTAACATGTAACCATTTTTATTTTCTTTTTCATTACAAATTAAAGATGAAACAGAATTTACAGCATCAGATATCGCAGAACTTGCTTCTGCTAATTGTTGATCATTTAGCTGATTGTTAATTTTTCGTCGCTTTGCAAAGGTATCCGGTTCAGGCATAGCTTTTTTAATAGGTTTAAATGAGAAAGAACTTCTTAAATTCTGAGAGTTGGAACTAGTGCTTGTTGTTGTTGGAAATTGCGAGCTACTACTACTACTGTAAGTAGACAATGCACTAGAAGGTCGGCTGAATATTTCAATGTGTGTGTTTGGCTCATTCTGCATGTTAGTGGCTGTAATTTTTTATAACATTATTTCTATATCAAAAACTAATTATTATAAAAAATCAATGCAAACCTATCATAGATTCTTCATTTCCACTATAATCATGATTTACTGTTGTAGAAGAGTTTGATATACTGAGATGTTTGCCCGACAATGAAAAATTATTTTCTTCGATTTCTGATTCTGTTGGACAAGATTCTATTGGGCAGGATTCTGTTGGGCAGCTTAGTGATAATGACGTTTTTGTTCTGAATAAAGATACGTAATGAATTTATGCAATAAATATAAAAATTAAAAAGCTATAAAATAAATAAATGTTACAGCATAAAACTAACCGTCTGTGAGCTATATGAGGAGTCAAGAAAAGCATTACTCTGTACAGTTCCCATTCTTTGATAGAATTATATCCTGATCCAGATGGTGACAATTTTTGCTTTCTATGTTCTCTATTGAACATGTCTCTCAATGACGACCAACGTTTTTTCACTGCATTAGCTATCAAGAACATGTACAAATTTGTCATGTATTACATATCACGTATTACATGTATTACACGTATCATATTTACAATAATCATAATGATAATTGAAAAAAATATACCTGACATATCAATATCATATAATGTTTTAAAATCATCCGAAATTATTTTCCATAAATTTTTTTTTTCGTGTTTTTAAAATCAACATTTCTTTTATCGTAAAAGCATGGATTATCGCGAACAAAATTAATAATAATTTCATCTAGGCTTGATATAGTGTCACAAAGAATATTGAGGGTTATGTTACATTTGCTGGATAATAGCCTATACTACATATAAAATGCATTGATGTCGCATGTCGTAAGCAGGAAAAGATGAAAGTTGACCATCTTTCATTCCGACACCGACACACGACTTGCGACAACTTCATGCGACAGCCGACAACCCAATGCGCATGCGTCCGACATCCGACTGCGACATACGACTGCGACATACGACTTATTGTAGAACGGGCCTAAGTGGGGACGTCCCTTTGACGGCCGCGACCCGATCGCGTTCCTCGAACGCGTAGAGGACTTCCACACAGACTACGGATACTCCGGCGAGCAACTCATGAAAGGCTTGTCCGAGCTCCTACGAGGAGACACCGTCGCATGGGAGAGAAACAACCGCGAAGACTGGCGGACGTGGGGGGATTTCTGTAACGCCATCCGCCGGCGATATCTGCCCTCACGATACAGCGAAAATTTACAACAGCAAATAGCCAAACGAAAACAACGTGAAACGGAAAAATTCGCGCCATACGCGGACGAAATGATGACTCTCATACGGCGAGCGGCGGGGTTTACGCGCGATCAACGACTGTCGCGAATTTACGCGAACATGCGGCCAGATTATAAGAGGTACGTCAAACGCCGGGACGTGCACGACTTAAACGAATTGTTCGATGACGCCGCGGAGTTCGAGCGGATCGAGCAGGAGCAACCGATCCGGAGACCGTACAGCGCTACGACACCGACCGTAGCGATCGCGTATAACCGGGAGGAGTGCTGCTGGCGCTGCAAACAGCGGGGGCACACCCGGTTTCAATGCAAGCAAACACCCCGACGTTTCTGCTCGCAGTGCGGGAAGGACGGAGTCCTTACCAACAACTGTCATCCGCCGCCGGGAAATGCCAGACGCGCCGGGAGTACCACGGCCGAACCCCGGGCGCCCAGACAATAGTGAAATATACACCTCGGCCACATATTACGGCTACAATCCACGGACACACTGTGGAAGCCCTACTCGATTCTGGATCAGAAATCTCGTTCGTTAATGCCGAAACCGTCGAAATTATGAAAAGACTGGGCATCAAGCCCAGCGAGGAAAACGGCCAAATACAGATGGCCGACGGTACCGCCGCCCGGACCCTTGGGAAGGTCCGACTACCGATATACTTACAAGGACGGACGTACGTCCACAACTTCTGGATCCTGCCAACACTCCGAGATGCCGCATTATTTGGGATCGATGTATGGGCCCGCCTGGGGCTCGCGATCGCGCCGCCACGACCACGACGAGTCCGGCGCAGCCAGCCGACCTGCGGGAAGACCAGCGGCCTGGCTACACGCACCAAGGAGGAAGAAAACCGCCTGCATGACTTCCTAAACCGCGAACTCCAAAAATTCCAGGCGGTCACTGGGCCGACCCCGCTGGTCGAGCACTATATCCGATTAAACCGGACCGTATCAATCAAGCAAAGATACCGGCTGCGCAATCCGGCCATGCAAGCCATCATCGACGCGGAAGTCGAAGAAATAGAGAAAGCGGGAGTAATCGAGCCATCTCGAAGTGCATGAAGCTCGCCCGTAGTGGTCGTCCGGAAAAAGAACGGGAAACACCGGTTTTGCATCAACTTTCGGAAAGTCAACGAGGTCACCGAGAAAGATGCTTACCCGCTGCCTCAAGTCACCGCCACACTGGACAAACTACGCGGCGCCCGATATCTAACGACGCTCGATTTAAAGAGCGGGTACTGGCAAGTACCCTTGGCACCAGAAAGCCGACCGATCACAGCATTCACCGTACCGAAAGGGAAAGGGCTTAATGCAATTCCGGGTGATGCCTTTCGGGCTGCTCTCCGCCCCGGCCACGTTTCAGCACCTGCTCGATACCGTCATCGGCCCCGCGCTCGAACCAAACGTTTTCGTATACCTAGACGATATCATTATCATCAGCCGCACGTTCGACGAACATTTAGACTTGCTCGCCGAAGTATTCCGCCGCCTCCGTCAGACCCGCCTCCGGCTAAACCCGGACAAATGTCGATTCTACGTCGACAACCTAAAATACCTGGGGCACGTTGTCGACCGTACCGGAATTCACACTGACCCCGAAAAGGTCAGCGCGGTCGCAAATTGGGCCGAACCCCGCTCGGTAAAACAAATTCGACAATTCCTCGGGATGGCATCGTGGTACCGAAGATTCATTCAGAATTTCTCAACGCTAGCCGCACCCCTCACGCAATTAACAAAAAAGAACGCTCGCTGGACATGGGGGGAGGAAGAAGCCGCCGCGTTCCGACAGTTAAAACACGCGTTAAGGGGATCCTAAACCGACGGGCGAACTCCGACGGGTTAGCGCCCTCATCTAAACGTAACTAAAAGGGTCGATAATATCGACATTTTTGATTCTGCCATTACCAACATAATTATTTAAAACATACATAATAGAAAACGCAATCTTTTGCATTGTGTTCCATATATTGAAATGAGACAATATCACAATATATTTTTACTGCTTTATATACAATAATAAATTACCAAACTTTAATTCATGCGTGAGAGAGTAATATACATGTGCGCACTAAGGCCCTGCGCACAATAGAGAAAATATTAGCAATAGGAATAAAATATTAAATATCAGGAGGAGCAATTTGGAATTATTTTACTTCAAACAAGAAAACGGAATGGATTAATTATTTCTAATTTTTATTTTTTTATTTCATTATGCGTTAATCCATTCCGTTCCCTTGTTTGAAGTAAAATAATTCCAAATTGCTCCTCCTAATATTTAATATTTTATTCCTATTCC